AGCAATCCCCTGTCCGGGGAAGCAGCCCCCCGCCGTGCCCGGCCGCCCGCACCGCTGCCTCCTCCTTTGCCAGCGACCCGTCCCAGGCCTTCGGGCTGGCGATCCCACCTGCCGCACTGACCTCCAGAGGAAGGGTGCTGGGCATCAGCATCACGCCGACCCTCACACGGCTTCAAACGTGCCAAAAGTGCCCCTGACAACACTGCCTCCGCCACCCCGGGAAAGCTGGGTCCCTCCCAGGACAGCTGCAGCCCTGCAAGATGCCGAAGAGCTCTCCGGAGGGAAGCACTGGAAGCAAGAGCCCTCCCTCTCCCGTCCCGTATCAGCATCTTAAATCTTATCGCAGTGCAGGGAATTGCTTTAGCCATTATTCTGTGTGGGGTCCAAAGGAAACGAAGCTTCTCCGAGTTTCCCACCCACATCCTCCCAGCAGCCCCACAGTGACGCCCGAGCCCAGCATCTAGCTGCAACCCGATCTAGGGGGAGGGAGAAGCCAAGCAGGTAAATTCAGCCCCTCTAAGTCTCCTGGAAGTTGTCAGAAGACAAAGGAGAAAGCGCTGAGCCACCCGCTCGCTGGAGGGAGGTGGGGGTGAAGGAGCTGGGTGCCGGCTTGCCCCGCAGCTGCGCTTGCTGCCCCGAGCATCAGGCGCACGGGGCTACTGCTGGGCTGGGGGCACCAACCAGCAGCGCAGAGCAACCCCCAGGAAGCCCGTCTGCACCAGCCCCCGGCTGCTGGAGTAACTGGGGACAGCCGCTTGCTTGCTGTAAAAGCAGAACTTGGGAACAGTAAAGCACTGCAAGAAAGCGAAGCCTCCAGCCCCGCTAGCAGCGTGCACAGGGCGCGCGAGCGTGCACAGCTCTGCCCCAACGCCAAGGCCCCGCTCGCCGCAGAGCCCCGGGGCAGATCGCCTGCATGCAATCCGCATGCAGCCAAGGGCTGCGGGATTTACCCCTCCGCAGCTCAGCTGGGTGCCAGGAGAGGAGAGCAGGCTGCAGGAGGGCGAGGGAGCAGTCAGCGCGGCCGCGCGACATGCTCCTGCCACGCTCACACCCCGAGCGAGGGCAGCGCTTGGACAGAAATCGCTTGCCTATCTCCAGAGTGCAAGTCTGTGCTGTCTCCGTGAGCCCAGCCCCAGCAACAAGCAAGCCATGGAAACTGGACATTTTCCACTGCGAATTCTTTCCTTTTTGGAAAGGAGTTTACTAATAAAAGGCACTTACTGCAGAGTCACAGTCGAGACCCAGGCCACTTGAAAAAGAGCTAATTTCCTCCCTATTTAAGCAAAAAGCTGAGAACACGTTTGCCCCAGATGTTCCCTCCCTCCTGAAAATAGGAGGGAAACAAGCTCATTCATAAATCCCAGCTTCACTGCAGTCCCCAGGCTGCCCAGCCTGTCCCCGAGGGCAGAGCGAGGGCTGGGACGCAGAGCTCAGCCAGGGGCCGGGGACGCACGGGGCGCTGGTCTCCGGGGCTGAGAACTCCCCAGCAGCGTGCAGGACAGCTCCCCCCTGCTTCAGGGGGAGCAACAGGGTCTCCAAAGCTCACAGGCATGTACAGAAGGGTTTTTTCCTCCAGG